AGAGAGAGAGAGAGAGAGAGAGAGAGAGAGAGAGAGAGAGAGAGAGAGAGAGAGAGAGAGAGTCACCTGCTTGTTTTTGGTGGCCGCTATGGCCGGAACGCTCAAGAAACCTGTGTACATCATTTCACTTTGTAGTGTGCTCATTTCATATGAATCTTGCTGTCTTGGTGTGGATGAAGTCCGAAGAAGTAAAGGCGACAAAACAAGATCTTCGCGGTAACGGCAGGACCCTTTCAATGGGCTCTCTGACAAAACAAGATCTTCGTCGGTAACGGCAGGACCCTTTCAATGGGCTCTCTGGGACTGGTGGTCTAGAGGAGTTCAAAGGCGAATATCACAACTCTCATTGTCTGATTAGTGGGTAGGGCACTCTCGCTCAAAACTTGTTTGCATTTCTATTTCACCTCAGCCAGAAGTTGTTCAAATTCCAATTTCACACAGTTTTCCAGAATGCTCGCACCCTCGTCCAGAAGTTGTTTGTATTCCAATTTCTGTTTTACGTCAATATGGTTCTGATCATCCATTGGGCATAAACCCTTCCGTGGATAACATAGCTTTTTATCCCTACCTTTACGGTGCACCGTCTCACAACCAATCAATGGGCTTTCAATTCAATCAATCAAAGCCTACCCAACGTCACTCCCATATCGCGTGTCTTAAAGCATTCAACTCACCCAATTTACATTCCCATGTCACACCTCTTTCCCGAATGCTTACTTCTCAAATTAATATAGGACCCTGGGGCTCTTCGGGACCCTGCCTGGACCACCGGCCCTCCCAGGGAGGGTACCCAGGCAGCCAGAGTTAGTCCGGCTTCTCAGGAAATACAGCATTCCTCTATGCTCATGTACATGCCATCACATCTCCGACAAATCAAATTTAACAAGCTCTCTATAGCGAGTTAGAGATCAGCAACTCCATGGGGTAAAGAGCCCCGAAGGTGTATATATACATTGGAAATCATAATTTTTCACCAGCAAAAGTACCCGCAGTGCCCCACAGCAATCATAATCCATTTTCATTTTTCAAAATAGGAAACTCAGTACTGGTTTTGCAAATTTGAAGGGAAGGAGGACCAGCAGAAAGAAGAAGAACATGCAGGAGGTGGAGGAGGAGGAGGAGGCGGAGGAGGAGGAGGAGGAGGCAGAAGATGGAAGAGGCGGGATTTTGATCATAATGGTAATGATGCTAACCCAGACTGACCACCTTTCAACACCCCCGTGGTACTTTATTGGACCATATTAGGTCCTGACATTTCTTCTGATGATAACGCTGCTACCACTGCCCTGATGCCCTCCCTGCAAAGACACCTGCAGGGAAGTTTCATCCTTTCAGTCAAAACACCAGCCCAAGTACTAATCAGAACACAAGTTCGGTAGGTTGGCTAGGCTCACAATTGGACCAACCTTGCACTGGCAGCGCTCACAGAAGTACTGATTATCCCCTCGGAGAACCTCTGCTTGTGCAGCAGCCGCCATGCTTTCCTCCAACGAGCTGAACCCCTACACATTCCGCCACAAAAGAGCAAAGCTCGTCATTCCAAGAAGCATGCTACCTTCTTAATCCGAGAAAAACATATGTAGATTCCATTCGCCTTACCTCTGAAAACAGGATTTCAGAAATCGCTGTTCTTTTTCCGAATGGATCAACAGCCAAATACAATGTACGTACCTTGCATTCAAATACAACATACATATACACATTTTACCAGGCCAAACGTTCGGGGGGGCCCGGGGCTGACCCCCGAACGTTCGGGCGTTCAGGGTCCCGTTCGGGGGCCACGCCTGAAGAGGTTCGGCCCCCACCAAAAATTATTTTGGGGCCTAAAATGATTTTTTTTTGTTGATTTGTTTTTTTGTACATTCTGTAGGACATGCGCTACACGCATATTAATTTCCAAGGCATTTTGCCGAGCCAAAACAAAAATGAAAAATCGTCAAGGATGGCGGTGTTAAAACGTGCTCAACAACACAGTTTTTTTTTTTTTTAACTTTCAGTTTTTGTTGTGATTTTATTTTGCTGCCTCCAATATTTTACTATATTTTGAAACTTTTTTCATGAGTTTTGTATAATGTGAAGTACACATATCTAGAGTTGCAGGGCATTTGGCTATGCCAAAAAAAAATAAAAAATTGCCAAAGATGGCGGTGTTGAAAACGGGCTTGCGCACTCACTAATTTCAATTCTCTAATTTTTTTTCCCCTTATTTTTCTTATTAATATTTATTTTCCTTTTTTATTTTTATTTCAAATTTGGTAAGGAATTTGGATGTAATGCTCAGGCAAATATTGTTTAGTTTATTTTTCTGCATAACATCTGTTTTTTTCAGATTCTTCAGATTTTTTTTATTTTTTATTTTTTATTTTTTTTTGGCCCCGCGTTTGGCCCGAACGGCCAAACACATCCCCAAGGGGTCCTGTACGTTCGGGCATTCCGGTTTGAGCGTTCGGCCCATCCCGAACACTGGCCACCCTGCATATACAAACATTTTCTGCCTGAGGATATTGTCAAAATTCACAACCAAATTCGAATAAGAACTAAGAAAAAGAGAATACAACGTGCGTGTTTTATGTTCAGGGTTTGCGGTGTCTGAGACATTATTCAATGTTTCAAAAAGCTTCAAAAGACTCGGAAAAAGAATATGCGGTACACAATTGCACTGCAAACAACTTCTGCTTTTGGTCTCGCCGAAATTCGCAATCAAACTCACGAAAACCAAACCAGAGTTACCAGCCCGAACTTTCTGGGGGTGTCTCC